TTTACTCCCAAGAAGCTCTATCATCTTCCCAACTGTCATTCGGCTGAAGAATCAAAGCACATCAGAGATAATATACATATATGTATATATATAATATATATATGTGTGTGTGTGTGTGTGTGTCTCTCTCTCTCTCTCTCTCTCTCTCTCTATGTATGATTAATTGATTGCATTGATATTATTCAATTATCCAAAATCGGGGCTTGTATCAATAACTGAAATTGTTCTTTCTCCAAAAGTAGAAAGAGTAATTGTGACTTATTAAACATTCATCTACTCCAAAAGCTTAAACTGTTAGAGAGGGTGTAACTTAAATATATATACTTCAACACACCTCCTCACATGTAGGCTAAATTTTGGACCTAGCATATGAAAATCTTTTAATAATTAGGGTGACGGCGAGAGGGTGTAACTTAAGTATTTATACTTCAACACGCCCCCTCACGTGCTGGCTAAATTTTGGGCCTAGCATGTGAAAATCTTTTAATAATTAGGGTGGCGACGAGATTCGAACACAGGACCTCCTACTCTGATACCATATTAAACGACCATCTACTCCAAAAACTTAAACTGTTAGAAAGTGTGTAATTTAAGTATTTATACTTCAAGATGACTAAAACATAACTTATCAAAAAATTGTAACTAAAACATAACTATCAAAAAATTGTGACTAAAACATTGGCAAAAGTGGCATGTTTGGCGGATGTCAATCTACATAGACAATAGATATTCAATGAACAGTAACATTAGAAAATGGATACGAAAGGAATTGTAAAATCAACTGTTAAAAGTTAATGGACCACATAACTGAAGCCCAAGAATTGAATGCTGCTCAAGTCATTTTCTTAGTACACTACTCGACTCAGGAATGTTTGGCACAACATTATGCAGTTGATTACGTAAATCGTGTTTTGCCATCCTGCTCTACCTAATACCACAAATGCATTACAATTGCATGCTGCTGTTCTCAATCTTGCTGAATTCTTCATATATCAGGGTTGTAGATTCAAAAGAAAAGGAAAAAAGTAAAAAACAGACAGAAAAAGAAACAAATTTGCAAGGTGACATGAGGAAAGCAGACAAAATTAACAGGTGACTCATAAAACATCTAATATCATGTGTGTGGTCACGTTGTCCTGCAATTTTGTTGGGTAAAAGGAGATTCTAGGAATGATCACTGCACTCAGTCGACTATCCCGTTCCAAATGAACTGACAATGCAACTAAAATATAGATCAAATTCTCCAAAACACTTATGAGTGTGCAATCACCCGTTCATCCAATGGAGAATAATAATTGGGTATGTGTTTTTCAAAATCAATGGTAATGTTGGTAGGTGGAAGATGTGAATATCAATTCAAAAACAAGATCTCAGTTTTGCTTGGAACTTTCCAAGAGATTGGGAAGAAAGCTCAATCTCCCATTTAAAGGGCTCACTCTTATTATGTTTTACCAGTCAAATGACATAAATAAATTTAGTAGCTACTAGTGACTAGACAACCTGCACCAGACTGAAAGGTCCAAGTAGGCCCCTTTGAGCAAATGGATCACTCAATCCATTTACTCCAACTCACCAAATGAAGCTCGTGTGCTTTCTTCTGCTTGAACTTTACACACTATCCGCCAGCTAACAACTAGGATAAATGCACTCTTGGGCAAAAAGATCATAACTTTACATATGGCTACCCCCCAGCAAAATCCATCAAAGAAATGATATAAGACTATTCTGTTCCCAATTTAAATAGATATATGTAAAGATAGTATTCACTAGGCAAATAGGTCAAACACACTACGATTTTGTCAACATCAGCACCTCAGCACCAAATCCATGTAAAATAACCTCAGACTTTCTAACTAGAGAACAATTAACCTTTCTATGCAGTCATATCGTACATGAACTACTGCAACACATACTTTTTTGGGTTGGGAGGCCTTCTTTTTGCACTATAAGGGAACATAAAAATAATGGGAAAACACAAATTCAATTGTCAACTATCCATAAACGTCCTACCAATGAACATCTTGGAATAAGGAATCCCCATTTGAATTGATATAATTATTTATACTTTGTTAGTGTTACTTTCCTATTATATCACCTTTCTATTGTTCTACTTTTCTATTATGTAGTTTTCTTATTACGTTCTACTTTCTTAATATTGCAATTATCTTCAATATCAATCTAATATAAATAGGTGATAGGGTGTTGGCAACATACACACCACATTGTTTCATGCTTTCTTTCTTTCTCTCTTTTTCATCTCTTTCTTAACCCTAACATATAATTATTTCAAGTTTTAACTTGGTATCAGAGAAAAATATTTAGGTGAGTGGCTTAGACCTAGGGGAATGCTCCACTTGCCAAGTGCTTAGGTCCACCCAATGCATATCAAGTTGTAGTCATATACGTGTTTGCCAATTGTTGTCATCGCCAGAATCACCCTAAGTTGCATTTTTTCGATCGTCGGTATCTTCATCAGTTGTTCATCGACTGTTGTGATCTCTATCAGTTGTTATGAATTGCCTAAATCCATGGTCGCATCTCTAGTGCTTGATCATCAGTGCAGATTTCAGTGTTTCAATTTGGTTTAGTGTTGGTTTAATGATTTCAGTGTCTCTAGTGTTGGTTTAATGATTTCAGATTTCAGTTGATAGTTTTTTTTCAATTCAATTCTGGTTCAGTATTTTCAACCCAGATTAGTGTTAGTTCGATGGTTTTTAGGTCAGTTTAGTGCTAGTTTAATGGTTTCTACCCGGGTTTAATTCTGATTCAGTGTTTTTAACTTGATTTAGTGTCAGTTCAATGATTTTTAGTACAGTTTGGTACTAGTTTAGTGATTTTTATCCCGATTTAATTTTAGTCCAGTGTTTGATTTAGTCTCTGTTCAGTGATTTTTCTTTCGGCACAATTTTGTTGCCAATTTAGTGGTTTTTATCGTAGTTTAGTTTTGGCTTAGTGTTTTCTGCCTAATTCAGTACCAATTTTGGAGTTTTCATCTCATTCAGTATGGGTTTTGTGGTTTTGAGCACTAGATTATCAGTATTTTTAACTCGATTTAGTGTTAGTTCAATGGTTTTTAGCACAGTTTGATACTAGTTTAGTGATTTTTATCCCAATTTAATTTTCGTTCAATGTTTGAGTTGGTCTCGATTCAATGATTTTCCTTCCGGCACAATTTTGTTGCTGATTTAGTGGTTTTCATCCTAGTTTAGTTCTGGCCTAGTGTTTTCAGCCTAATTCATTGCCAATTTTGGAATTTTCATCTCATTCAGTATGGGTTTTGTGGTTTTGAGTACTAGCTTATCCCCTTTTGGCATATTCAACTTCCATTCGACTTGATTTACCTTGTTTTCAATTACTGCAGTTTAATTTGTTATAGCATGTGATTCGTTGTGATGTTGTTGATTGTCTTCGTTTGTTCCGGTATTGGTGTTGGTGGTGCCAGTGTTGTTATGTTTGTCATTTGTCATCACCGTGTTGTTTTCATGTGTTATCGTGACTGTCATTTGTTATTGCTTGCTTTGGTGTAGTCGTTAATTGCTTCTCTAGAAAAGAAAAAGAAGTCTTAGACTTCACATGGTGCAATCACCTAGATTTGTTGCGTAGGAGGAGTATCATGGTAGTGTGTGTTGATTAAAAAAGTCCTTTAACGGTCTGAAGAAGTCAACCAAAACTTGACTTATCATCCTTATTGTCTACGTGGAGATATTGCAGTGAACTCAAGTGATTTTCTCACCAAACCATTGGCACAGTCCAACTTTAGAAGCCTTTATTCTAAACTGAATATTTTTTATCTCTATGATCAAGCTTGAGAGGGAGTGTTAGAGTGTTACTTTCCTATTATCTTGTTTTCATATTATGTCACTTTCCTATTGTTCTTCTTTTTTATCATGTGGTTTTTCTATTATGTTTTACTTCCCTAATATTGTAATTATCTTCAATATCAATCTAATATAAATAGGTGATAGGGTGTTGGCTACATACACCCTACAAACCATATTGTTTCAGGCTTGCTTTCTTACTCTTTTCTTCTTCTCTTTCTTTTTCTTCACCCTAACGTACAATTATTCAAGTTTCAACTTACTAATACTAGCATAAATTCAGAGAAGAATCAAAGATCCAGATAGAAAACATGCTCAATATCATTTGATTGAATAGTTGCCCCAATCCCTTGTTTGAAGAAACCCTCTACTTCCATTGATATTTTTTCACGAAAAGCCGGCATGAGATAACAAAATCCAACGTTCTACTAAGATTTCAAATACCAGCCCCAATATCAAATTGGTTATATTTTGTCGAGAGTGGATTGAACCCAAGGAGGTAGTCCTTGGGCCACTCAATACATCTGCCATTTTTCTAGTCTCCCAATGCGAAACCTGTCTTAGAGTGCTTAATATCCCACACAATGCAATTTCAAAGAAGAACATGTGCTTCCATCTTTACTTATGAAAACCACCATGAATGTCCACCATTTTGCCCTGAACCAATCCATTCCATCCAGCACTAAACATTTGCAATATTATCTAAATCCAGTATCATTTCCAGAAACTCCATCAAACCTAGACCTTCACACAAAATCTCCTACTTTTCATTAAGGGCCTTAGGATTTCATAGAAAAGATCTCGATTGTAATGTTCCAAATTATGAAATTTATCTCACCGGAGAGTCATGATTGTGAAACTAATGTTTTTCCGTGGAAGATATGTAGTAGTTGTGCTTAGGGTTTGGACATGGAGGAGTAACAAGTGCTCATCCACCCAAGCGACAACGATCATCTCGACTGTTGAGTCAAGGGATCAATCCCAGAATGAACCTAGTCAGTGTTGAACCTCCATGAGGCAACACAAAGCTAAAAGAAGGGACCAAAGGCTTCAGATCTGGTATGCGCCAAAAATTCAGTGGACAAGGAAAAGTAATAAACAGAACACTGGAATCTGAAATGACGTAGATTGGATTAAGTTCTCTAGAGGTTGCATCAAATTTTTCATTTGACAAGGGAAAAATTACAAAGAAAATAGAATAACTATCACAGAACGGTATGTACGGTCAATAATGAGGGTCATGTATGGATGTAACAATGCAGTCCAGCAATGCATGGATTCCTCATACTTAGCTGGCATTCGCTTAATACAAAATAGTGGCTTCTTTTCAAGGAGAAATTCTCCTATATACCTTGGAAATCCATGAGGATTCATAATCAGATCAGGGCAAATGCCACGTTCAGAAAATGGGAAATCTTCCTGTTGAACAATAGTGCCACAGACTCCTTTCTGGCCATGCCTGCTACTAAATTTGTCACCTACCTGATGCAAATAAGTATTCAATGTAATAAATGAAAAAGACAAAAAGGACCAAGATATGGAGTATAATTCTCATGTCCAAGGTGAATCTAATTAGGACTACATACCTCGGGCCTACGAGTATGGCGGATCATAAATTTGATGCATAGATTGTTATTTTTATCAGAGCAGAGAGCCACTCTATCAACAACAGCTGTTTCCCCTTCAGAGCCGTGGTACTTTTGTCTGCTCGGCTTATAGGCACTGGATGCAACAATTATTGTAAGTTAACTTGCTCTAACTAAACAATTATACATTTCCTCGACAAATCAAAACCCTAACCTATCTGGCAACCCCATGGGTGACATAACTTGTCCTCTTGTAACAACAGGGGACTCCTTATTAATATAAACGTCCTGTGGTCTAATTATTTCTCCAGGAGCAGCAAGTCCATCATCATCCAAAATCTGAACAAGGTAGAACATTTGTGATGGCATATATGAATTAAGATTCCTCAGATTAAGAACCAATGTATCATGAAGGAAAATAGGTAGAGAGATATGAAATAAAAATACAAGGCCCATATTGATTGTTTAGCCAACAATATTTTTTGAGCCACAGAAATTATGAAGAAAATAGAGTCCGTGGCATGATTACAACAGCTCCCTCTCCCCACTCTAGTCCAGACCTGGAAATCTTCATCAGGATTTCCAATAAGGATGAAGAAATAAGTACACATAGCTGAAGGACTTTGGTACAAGTGTCATGCAGGCCACCGTGCTCCCAGCTCATCATCAGGAGGATAAATTTTACCGTGTTCACCATTCAGCTAATTTAAGATCTTGTGGTTGCTCTATCCAACTTGTGCTACAAGCTGGGGTGGAGCCAGGAAATTAATCTTCAGTAGGCAATTCAACAAACTTTATTTTATTTATTTTTTTGCTCAGTAGGATGATATATTTATATTTATTGAAATTATTTTTGACACAAAATAAAATCATTAAACATAATAGGGCCAAAAATGCATAAACAAAACAAAATAAAAAGATTAATTTTAACATTTTACAAAAAATAAGGTTAATTATAATCATTTTCAATTGATCCCAATGATTTTTTATCATTTGAAAGCACTGCTTGATGTCTTCTCATAAATACCATCAAGAATGTCTTATATATATATATATATATATATATATATATATACTATTAGTCAGTATATTATCGCTCATTTGGTTACGTAATCGAGTTTTTATAATTTTTTATAGTTAAAAATATTTTCTCTACAATAAAAATTACAACCGATAAAATCCATGTCAGTCACAATAGGTATCATGTTTTTTAGTCTTAAATTTTTTTTGAGTAGAACACCAATCCAAACATATCCAAAGCATGTCTAAAAGTTGATAGATATTAAATTATGTGTCTATTCTAATGGACATCACAAGTCAAAAAAATAGGGTGGAAAATACAAAGGTAAGAAATATTTAAAAAGTACAAGGTAATTAATATCAAGAAATTTTTTTTGAGGTGGGTATGTGCCCCTCAAGCCAATGGTAGCTCCGCAACTAGCAATAAGATGGTCAATGTAAAGAAAGCTTGTACCGCCCATCAAATGATAAGGATTACCCAAGGTTCATTTACATGCTTCAAGGGTCTCTCCACTCATCACCAATTGTTTTTGAGTTAGATGCTCTAACATGGTACCAAAGTTGGGTAGTCCGCGGACTAATTCTCTTACCCATTTGCATATCCCGGTATGTATGTATGTATGTTTGTTTGTTTATTAGCCCCATCTGCGAGCCCAGGTCCCACATGAGGGAGGGTGGGAAAAGAGCTTATGGTTTGGTTTATATGCTTAGAGTCTCTCCCCTCATTCGTTTTGGGTTAAATGCTCTAACTATCAGGACGGTGACATGATGGCACAGCAAATGCCACCATACCTCTTGAAGATCTACTATACTACATATTTACAATAGTTCAACTATATATATAGGTATTTCATGTGTAAAGTGTTGCTGTAACATTACCTGCATCTTTTCAGCATCACGACCCTCTCGCTGAGGTCCAATGATTCGGTCTGAGGTATTGTTATCGTATTTCTGTTGTACAGCAGACAACCTGTTCATAGAAAAGCAATACAGACAACCTTCAAGGAAAATCTCAATCCAAAAATCTAACAACTTAATCTACGCTGCATTGCAACCCAGAATTTACAATCAGCAAGGGCAATAGGCTGAGTACTTTTTCATTACAATACAACGCCCAAAACCATGATCCAGAGATGATTTATTCATAACAATGGCATCCTCTATATCATATCCACTGTAACTCATAACTGCAACAGTTGCATTCTGCCCGGCTCCAAGCTTATCATATCCAACCTGTGAACAGAATTATTCGTTTACATACCATGAATTCGTATTATATGTAACAGTTCAATGTACTAACCAGTTCAATTGTTCTTGTCGTCAGTAAGGGCCTTTGAGGATACACTAAAAGGTAGATCAACGTGTCCATCCGACATAACTACAACATCAAAAAATTATTGTTTTGCAAGTTGGAATCAAAAAAGATCAGTCACGAAAACTTATAAATAAACAAAGCATGTTAGTCAAAATTCATATTAGGCAGAATCCAAGGGAAGATGGATGGGAAGAAAGGGGGAACAGTTATTTTCTGTAAATAAATCGATATCGCTACTTGGCCTTGATATTGATGAAGTCTACTTTGGATTTATTAACCCAAGATCCACAATGGTCAATGCAAAACAAAGTGTGTTAAACAAATGCGAGATAAAATACTATCAATACTGGGCGTCAAGGTTGTTAGTAAATAAGCAAAAAAGAACAAGCTCTATATATTAGGTTTTAATTTTAGGCTGTCAAGCATGATTCAAACAGCATGCATTGACCAAAGAGAGCTACTCAGCCAACCAGTAAGACTGTAATTGTAACATCCTGTCCCGATAAAATAGAAAATTAAATAGAATTAAGCACAATTTATAATTTAAAGAAATATTTCGATTGGGTTTTGGTCAAAAAGTATAAGTATTGAAATAATAGGAATAAGCTAACGATTAAATCATATATATAATATTTTTGGAGGAGCAAAATACGTGTGCAATTGTTCTTCTAGGACACTGTTGTGTCTTGTGCCAGGTACATGATATATATATATATATATATATATATTATATTATGTTAAAGTTATTTGGGTCTCTGATTATGGTTTGGAATCGAGTCGGGGTGTTACAGTAATTGCAGGAGTTGACAAGTCCATGCATGCGTGAGTTACTCATAGCATGCATGCATGAATTGAACCATTGCCTGCAAGGGTTTAAGTTCCTAAGCTTTATCAGATGTTACTCTATCATGATGCTACCTCTGAATTAATTTGTGCCAAAACAATTGACCACTGCTGGTTTAAAACTGAAAGAGGCTGGGAGATTAAACGACAATCCCATATCACTAACGGGTGCACGATGAAATAGTTGGCAAGCTGAAGTCTTTTGTAAATATGAACATCAAATAATGTCAACATGCACCATAGAATGCATGTTGACTTCATTACAGACCATGCAGCTTTCAAAGATTCTTTTTTAAAGAAAGGTATTCTGGAACCTTTAATAAATCAAAACCTTGAGACTCAAAAAAGCAAAAATTATCTAGAGACTGCATACAGCAACTTGCCTGGTTATATGCAATGTTGCCCATGGCTTGCTTCCCCATTGCACACTATTAATATAAGAAAAATGACAGTTGAAAAAAGATCAAAATGCTAACAAGTCTTAGGAAACAAGGAACAATGAAAACATTCCACTCGACACAATAGTAAACCTGATAGGTATTTCTGGGTGACTGGTTATGGTGAGGATAAGGAATAAGTCCGGCACAAACACCTAAGATGGTGAAAGGCTCGATTTCAATATGGGTTGTTTCAGGTGTAGCCTCTCCCTCGTACAGCGCAATCTGGAAAGCAAAAAAATTATGCAGGAAGAACCAGTGAAACATTGAGTCAAAAAAGAAATATGCTTTTAAGAACATGTGAGTGACGAACAAACCAAAGCATTGTTCTCCTCATTGACATCAAGATACTCTATCAAACCATCTCGCAGAAAACTGTCAAAAGTGCGTACTCCATCCTTCAAGTACACAGATGTTTAATAAGCTGATGGAAACCAAATGTCATTGAGAATAATGGGCATGCAAACAACTACCTTCAACTCCTTCATATGGTGTTCTTTGATCCTCGAAACACCCTTGTCAGCAATTACAAGTGGACGACAGACACGACCACCATCTGAAGCAATGTAAACACAACGCTGCAAAAAAAATTTCTTATTTAGGGTTTCCTGACTCGTTTAATTATAAACAGACAGAATGTTCCAAGAACATAATACTTATCTTGAAAAAAATTTGTTGCAAGAACATAGCGAAACAAAAGAGATAAAACATATTATAGACTCATTTAACACCAAAAAGATAGGCAATGAACATAACTTTTAGAGGTACCAAGCATATGACTTGAACTAATTTGAGTTGCATGTTACTGAAGGTGATGTCAGTCATGTGGAAACAGAACCAAGGTCATGATAGGATGTCTCCAGCGGGAGACAACCTTATCATAATGCCAAATCTGACAGGAACATCCTAGAGTCCTTCAACAGTGCTTTGGCAAAGCACAAGAAGAGGAATTTGTCTCATTTAGAATAATCAAATCGAAGAGAAAGAACAAGGGTAACACAAATCTTACTCGAAAAACAGGTGCAACAGTTTACAAATCTGACCAGCAGATAAGAGACAAACATAACCAAAAAAACCCTTAAAAGAAAACATGACTCACTTATAGCTCACGACTTCTGGGAAAAAAAAACATAACTAAAATACCCTAAATTATCACTTGCATGAATCTCTAACTCAAAGAAACATTGACCAGAACATCAAGACAGTCTAAGACAACCGTGAGACTCTCAGATAAACAACTCAAAAAGACACAAAAAATTGACTAAATGATCACACACTGCTGCAACTGTTGCGATGTCTAAGCTTTTCAATGTTGTAAAAACACTTCACTTGCATGCTATGCATCAACCCCTCCAAGTGAAAGAAAACTTGACCTCAAGAGACATCCTGATATGACACTAACACATCAGCAGTTGTGATGTTGCTGAGAAGCTTCAACTTATATGCATTGTTATTAATCCTTTCGAGTACTTCTAACATCCAATTTGTTGGTAGTATGCGCTAAGACCAATCAAAGGGAGAAAGAGGAAAAGTAAAAGGACTTGAGATGAATAATCTGTGTATATGGTTTGTTGGTATACCTTCTCTTATTTATGTCAAAAACATATTTATGGTAATTCACTATTACCCTATGCTAGCTTATTGTAACTATCAAAAAAAAGAAACCCACACGCCCCATAAAGCTAGATCATATAGATCAAAAATGTCCAGCTTGAAGAAAAGAAAACTAAAGGCAGACCAAGCCAACGGTTTGGTAAGAACATCACTTGGTTGATCACCAGACTTGACATATGAAAATATGGAGTGATAATCTCCTTCTGTACAAGAGACCTAGAATAAAATGGCAATCCACTTCGATTAGTGTAGTACAATCATGCAATAATGAATTTCTAACAATGAAAATAGTTGTCTAGTTGTCATAATGCATCTGCATAGGGAGAAAGCATACTAATACTCATGCCACGAAGAAAAGAACAAACCTACGACATCTCATATGCAGTGTCACTGTGTCAGTTATGGGTCAATATCCAACCTCGGAACTAGATCGTGCAACTAAATTATGTTTCTTACTTAGTCAAGTAACAAGATTGACAAACATACAGTAATCAGAAGTACATTAGGTACCAATACAACTACCTCACAATCATCGTCAAAAAAACCTATAAGAGTCATGGATGATCATTGGCAATATAATAATCTTTTGCCCCATGCTTCTTTCAAAAGCCACAAAATGCGACAAATAGCCTCTCAATGAGACTTATGGGGATAAATCAATTTACAGACCAACCTCCAATAATGCTTTGCGCCATCAAAGACTTATCACTCTAAACATTTAACTATTAGAGTCCATTGTGATATCAACTAGACTTGCACTAAGAGTACTAATTTCAGATAATAAATCCAACACACATTTCTATTAGCACATTGATACCTTACTTGGACCAGGCTACCTGCATACCAAGGAAGAACTAAAAAAAGAGTCTTTTACCTAGGCTACCTTTATATCATCCAAGTTATTATAAGTCAATGACTAATAATAATGTCAGAAATATGTACAATAAGAATAATAATACTAGTGGAAGAACGATGTATGAAAACTAAATATTCTAAAGAAGAGAACCAGAAGACATAATGAAGTACAACATACTAAATTTATCAAATCAAGCACGTAGTAATTGTATCAAGCTATATCGTGCTTTCTTCCAATAATACACTAATTGTTCCTTCTCAGAAGCAACATATCCCGACTATTGTATCATATATACTTCCTCATAGATGTTTCCATAAAAGAAGGCATTTTTTATGTCCAGTTGATACAACCACCAAACAAAACAGGCCGCTACAAAAAGAAGACCTCTAAGAGAGTTAAGTCGAGCAATAGGAGAAAAAGTCTCATAGTAATGCACACCATGTGCCTGCGTATAGCCTTTAGAAACAAACTGTGTCTTTAAAAACAGTTTGACTACATTATCATTGGTTGCTACAACTATAACGATGTCTGAGCCGGGTCTTCTTACGATGTTCAAGGCCTTGTCAAAAGGCTTTTCATGAATGGTTGCATCATCTACTTAGCACATTCATGACCTTCATGCGAACATTAGGTGTAAGACTGTTTTTTGTTATGAAAATTATAAACTTGATATAGACGTCTAAGGATCAAACTTTTGAAACTTTTCCATTTCTATGGAAACCAAAACGATGCAGTGATTCAAAATCAGAATTCCAATGTTTGATGGTGTTTTAAGGTATGTCAAAATGTTTCAAGTTGTTTTGGTAAAAATAAATTTTTTATTTTTTTCACCATTTTCATGCTGTTTCTAAAACATTTCCGAAATGTTCTCCAAAAGTTTTCATTTCATCGTCGACCAAAACAACAAACCGAAATGAAATTTTGATCCTTGCGTCCACCATGAAGGTTCAAGAGTTAGGTGAGTAAACGATGGGGTGTGTTTGTCGTAACTCCTATGTGCCAACATAAAAAACTCAATCAAGAAACTATGTGCTAGAGCTATTGTACCCCATCGCATTGTCCATAGGCTTGGACTTAATACTTATTTACTTGACTTGCCAAATGTACATGACTTGTTTCCTTATCAAGGCACACTTGAGCCTCCATGCACATATTCATAAATTTGGAATTGTAATTTACTCTTCACCAATACAAGTGCTTCCGCCCCTTTCCTAACAGTGTATCGACTGAGCACATGCTTGAGGATGAATTTGTTGGTTCTTCTTATGGTGGATTCAAGCGATGGTTTTGTCAAGTGGAAAGATGAACTAGTTCCATATGCTACTTGGATCACTGAAAATGAGTTCCATTGTCTTGCTCCTAATCTCTTAAAAACAGCATTACAGTCATAACTTTCCAAAAATGAGTTACTGAAAGTCGGGGAGAATTGAGAGTGATTGCAAGAGACTTGCATTTGAACATACACTAGGTTGGGTGCAAGATTCGTAATTAGATTTATTTGTGCTTTATTTAGGCTTAAGTTTAGGACTTGATTATGTAATTAAATTATATTGGGATTTTTTATTTTTTCCATATTTGGACACCCTATTTCCATCTAGAGGACACACACCCCGATCTCCTATCATAAAAATTCTTAATTCTCCTTTTGGTTTCAACTCTTACATAAAATTGTTGGTGTGGTCAGAGAAGGTTTCTTACTAATGAACCGATAATCAAAATCATTCCATTTGGAACCCCATACTCTATCAAAAAGTCGGATTTCTAAATTCTCATAAGACCCATGGAAGAGTCTATGTAAACTAGACTTATTGTATCAGGAAGCACCTTTTGCTATTTAATATTGAACATCAAACAATGAAATCAGAATTGGAATTATTATTTTAGTGTTTTATTTTTTTCTATGATTACGGTCCTGGATGAAAAGCATTTAATAAATTTTGATTACTGCTTAAAAATTTTAAATTCCACCTTCTTGGCAGTAGATTCCCTGAATTCATCCTATGTGCAATTGAACGATTCATTTTGAAGAAAAAAAAAACAAGAAAAAGGAGAGACACAGCAACTTCGTTCCCATTTTTTAAACCACAGAAATCAATCTACAACTGTGATTAGGTACCCAAGGACACTAGCAAAGGGGATACTAGTCTCCAGCATAACAAGAGCAGTCGGATACAGCATTACTGTATAATTAATTTCAACACTGAAGTTAGAACCATGATTTCTGGTAGAGATTTGCAATGACAAATTCGCCATGATGTTGAACAATTTGTGTTTTTAAATGTTTGTTGTAGGCCTCACATTTATATTTATACTAGTTTGCTGATCAGCAATTCTTGATAATGTTGGAAACAAGTATAAAGATTTTTTAAAAATGTACCAGGTTAAAGATAATTAAATCTTCATTATCTATTCTTTAAGAATGACTAGCTTGAAAATCCATGGGGCAATGATACGAGAACATTAATCCAGCCTGACAAGACTGTTGTGATGGATTCAAGCCAAAGTCATGTTTAATAAAGAACTGCCCGTATCAAGTTTTCCAGACCGGAACTCATCATATAGCAATCATTTCATGATTCATCCACACACGTATGAAGTCAAAGTGAAACTCATTATTAAGGAATTATTTTATGGTTTCTCCACAAACATGTATAAGCTAAAATACAGTTAACAGTCTATGTTTGACTTAGTATATAATATATTTATATACAAGGCAAGGCCATAAATTATGGGTAGATCTTGAAGCTTTGTTGTCCAGCACTTTATATTTCTTCCAAAAATGATACTCAAATTCATGCACAGAACATCAGTCATAAAACAACAAAGTAATGTATACATCAACACTGCAAAGATACAACGCATCGTAAAGCCATTGATCATTAAAGGCATTTTACGACATCCTAAACACATGCAAAAAAGCGGATATTGTAATAATTACATCAAAAAAGTAAAGCAAGAAAGGGAAAACGCACACACAAGGAAAAAACATTTAGAAATAGTGGCATTACTGTAGAAAAGCTTACATGCTTCTCATTTGCAAAGATGCTTACAAACTCGCCAATTTTACCAGCCCTCCGTAGCTTTCTCATCGCACTAGCAAAACGCTAAACACAGAATGAATAAAAAAAAGTATTCAGTTGAAGAGAAAAAAGTTATGCAAGCAACTCGAATCTTTATTATCCGCAGTCCATCTTAATGTGATTCAATACCTGTGGCATCCTGTGCTTTCCAAGAATAAGCCCATTTAAAATAACCAGAAACGAATTGGGCATATGAAGCTCCTCTCCGGAGAGTAGTTCCAAGTCTTCAACTCCCAAACTATAGCACTAATGCAGTAGTCATTGCATATATATATCATAAATTACATGTAATGTAAGAGGCCAACCAAACAAAGTAAAATTCCAGTGTTATGAGACATCTATTGAGAAGAATCTACAGAGTCAAAAGAGCATCAGCTTTACTTACCGTTTTTCTTCTTTACCTATTTTTTTTTTTTTTTTTTTTGCATTCAAAAATATTAAACTTGGCATGGATGTTATATGCAGAGGCAATAGAAGTGTCTAATCTAATGCAGCCCAAATACATCACAAGATTCTCATAACAAGCTCAAAGATATATTTATTACCATTTATACACAAAAGAGCACCAAGGAATCACAACCCATGTACACACAACATTCACGTACACAAAAAAGAAAGAGAGCTACATACAAGCAGAGCCACACCCCAAAAAATCACATATACAATCACCCCCAAGGTCTCCCAAAAAATCAATGAACAATCCAAGAAAAACAAAGATTCCCCTAGTAAGTAAAGAAAGAGGGATACCAAAAAGGACTTCTTAAGCTGCAAAATCATCTCCTCGCCATCAAAGTCATATTGATATTGTTGGAACCATAGCTTCCACTACAGACACGGAAATGACCAAACACACATCCTTCCGGCACACTTCTTTCTCCAATACCCAAGGCATCCTAACTGTAGAATAAACAAAAAAGCACACCATGACAAGAGCACACCAACAACCACACTTTTCCATGCACAGGAGCATGGGAACTGCAATAGTAAGAGGTTCAAAATCTCCTTTGTAACCCTCTGCATACAACACCAAGTTGAAATAATATTTCTCCACTTCATTAAGTTATGCTTCTAACTGTCTAAGAATTTTTCTAATGTTGGACACAAACCAAAAGAAACAATCTCAGGTGGCACTTCAGTCTCACAAAAGCCTTCCAAGGAAAATGAGAATAAGGGGCAACACCTAAGAGGACTCTATAAAATAATCTAATTTCGAAAATTTACACCATCAGAAGCTATCCAATTTCAGCTGTCCTCACACCCCTCCTAAAGTTGGATTTCACACAATAGCCCAAGGAAAGCATCCATCTACTAAAACTTCCAATCCTGAGAAGTCTTCCCAAAGTAAGGATTCCCATGACCCCATTGCCCGATGTCCTCAAATAATTGCCATCATAAACTCCTTATAAAACACTAGGCAAAATAAATCAAGAAATCTTTGTTACAAGGGAATACCATCAAATAGAGGATCATGCCAAACACTGATCCTTTGGCCCGACCCAACACAAAGCTAATATATTTCAGGTATCTCACCCTCCCTTAGATGACCAATCACCTGCTATTCGCCAAACCTCTTACCCACCAACCTCCTCCACGAAGACTATCTCCCTCTCTCTCTCCAGGCCATTGAGACTTCATTGCAACACAGAACTTTGCTTACCCAAGGCCTTCTTCAGTCATATAAGAACACCTTATCTCGTCATCTACAAGGTGGAATTTGCACTAGCCCTCTAAATTCCCTACAATAAATTCCTTTATCACTTCTCCAGCCTCTAGTTGCAAGATAATTCCCCATATTACCCAAGTATTACTCCTACACAAGTGCAATGAGTTCAGGTTTGCAATTTTGAGTTTTACTCAACAAGATGCATTCAAAAGCTTAAAATCTTCACTATGGAGTTCCATGATGAACAATTACAAAATATTTAGGATGAATCTACATTTGAATTTGGAGGATTGGATGCAATTCGTATGTTCTTTTTTTCTTCTCAATAAAAATATTTTGAGCTTTAAGGTTGCACCATTGCAGTTTGGATTTTTCCAATTCCAGAAACCCAAAAAGCATGTTTGGTTCAAGTACTAGGAAATGGAACTGGACTAAATTAGTTTGAGATTACTTAATACAACTTTGGATCATACTATAGGACCCGCCTTAGAGACTATTTCAATACCAGCTTGATGCTATAGTGTCTAATAGCGCTGCATACGGTACAAATCAATCTCATGTGACATGTGATATAAAATTAATCCAGGTCAATATGAAGATAAAATGACCACGGTGCCAATAAAATTCCCAAAGTCTTCCTTTTCCAAACATGGATTTGAATGGGATTGGATGCAAGGGTACTTTCGTTTTTTAAACTTAATACCATAAACTAGTCTCTTAACCAAACATAGGATTTGTATTAAGACAATGGACCTACACCTTATCCCAACACGGTATAGATGGGATAGGATAAAATGGCAGACCAACTATTGTTGTCAGTGTGGATTGGATTGGAATCAGCAGTCCAATCTCATCCCATGTTGTACCCAAACTGAACATTCCCTAATTGTTTTCGCTTTTACCAGCCTTTAAATTAACACCAACCCACTATTGGCTGCTTTCCAGAATCTCCAGAAGCTCATTTTTGCAATTCTAACAACCTAAACCTTCATAAATCAATCAAATATCAATCCATTGTCACCCCCAAAGCTCATCATCAGTCTCCCACCTCTTAGAACATAAATCTCCTCTTAACTTAAAGCCCATCAAACTATCCTGTTTTCTTCCCCACACATGTTTGCCACAATTACTAAGGTGACAAAAACGTGGAATCATTTTCAAACTTGAGATCTAATCTAAGCATTTTAAGGGAACCAATATAATTTTGAAACATGTGAGCTGTAAATATGGTTCGATGCCATCATCTACGGCTTCAATCAAGAAAGTTTGAAGGGTATTATGCATATCCTTCAAGCAAGAGCTTGATGAACATCAAGTAATATGGCTCAAAATTAAAATCTTGAAATCCTTCTTCTTCAATTTCCATCCCTTCTGTTACACACACACTGATCAACGAGCAATGGGTTTTGGTTTAGCCATTCGGAGGGTCAAATCCGTACGTCCCAGAGCATATGCGTTCCATCAAAAAAGAAGAAATAAGTAAAGGCCCTGTAGAAATATTTTATTATTCAAATACATCAGTCGAACTAGTGCATGAAGCCATTCTATTTGCATTGGCAAAGATGAACACAACGCTAAAGTAGAAGAAACCAAAAAAGTATAATGACAATATGGTTGTCAGTTTTTGTTCATAATTAATCTAACGATGTCTCTAATATAATATGCAAGCTATTCCCACCATTGGCTGTGGTACACCATACACCCAAATAAAGGGATGACATACACAAATAATGGCTTCCCATTATTGTTTCTATTGCTTCCAAAGGAGGTCCTCATGCTCATTTCAGTTTGGACCCAAAGAATGCCAGGTCAAAACTCATGGTATTTGATACACTAAAAATTCAATGACAATTTTATCAATGTGGAGGAGAATAATGTAGAGTACTACCCAGAGGAGGAGCTTGGAATTTCACCTGAAAGCATACTTAAGGCCTTCATTAACTATGTGCTAAAATGAGTCCTTATTTTTGAGTTATCCCAAGACTTATATGCAGCTATTTTTATAATAGCTTCATTTTATTAGGTTTTCCCAGGCAAGGACATTTTGTTTTCTGGGTTGCACTTCCTTCTTTAGCTTTTGTTTAGGGTCTTTTAATGTAATTTTGCAAGTTCAAGATCTAAAGATCAAATAAAACTCAAGTCCAACTCATAATATGGAAAAATCTTATCCCAATTTGGACCCATGACTACTTGGTCACCATGTTCACATGGCCATGGAGTTCCATGTCCTAATGCCTTGGTCCTCAATGTAAAGAGACCTTGTATCCTATATCTAATGATTAGTGTGAAGATAGTTTGTATCCCACATCGAATAATTAGGATTACCAAGGTTAGTTTATATACTTCAAGGGTCACTCCACCCATAACCAATTGGTTTTGGGTTGAATGTTCTAACATGACGTCAGAATTGGGCCTTGAGAGGTCAGTGGATTAAGTCTTTTATCCATTTGAATTTTTTTGTATGCATAGTTGTTTATGTATCTGTTGACCCCACGTGCAAGCCCGAGTCCCATGTGAGGAAGGGTGTAGAGAGCTTGTATCACGCATCGAATAATTAGGACCATCAAGATTGGTTTATATTCTTGAGGGGCCATTCCACCCATAGTTAATTGGTTTTGGGTTGGATACTCCAACAATTAGGACCACCAAAGGTTGATTTATGTGTTAAGGGGTCTTTCAACTCATTATCAATTGGTTTTGAGTTAGATGCTCTAACATGGTATCAGAGTCGGGTCTGTGGGCTAAGTCTCTTATCCATTTGAATCCCTCGTAACGTTTGTTTATCAAAAGAAAACGCAAAAAAAACACTTCAAATTATTGATAACCACTAGAGATGGCTTAGAACCAATCTATTCCTATCTAAAGAAACGCTATTGGAGCAAACGACAAAGGCATTGTTGGACAAAATGAAAATGGGATTATGCATGTTTGTTTGTTTTGTCAATAGTGACATAATAGCTTTGATTCGATTGAGTGAATAGAATATGAATAACTTAAAAATTCCAAGGGTGATTTTAGCTATCCCTTGTGAGGATGAAACGCTACTTTCCATAATCCTTCCTTATCCTTCTTGTACTATATGGAGATCTCCAAGATTTATAGGACCAAGCCTGAAGAGTATTGTGGTACTTTGGAAGGAGTTTACTCCCTCGGTCAGTTTCTAAATAACGAATGGAGGGGATACTGAGATTTTGCAAAGACCATTGATGTGGTGAAGGCTGCTTACAGATAGATTTACAACCTTATTGAATATGGACCCGAAGAATGAGGTGTCTGTTGAGGAATGCCTTTCCATGGGATGGGGTGCCATCACAGCGTGGCAGAGGTAAAATCTATTCAAGTGAGAGATTTAGACAGTGGTGGAACTCCTAGAGTATTGGATGGATGCGGCATCCAGGGGATAAACGAAGAAATCTTTTTATTGGGCTATGAGTGCCTTCCCACAAGGTTGGCACTACGGTGAATCCAGACAGTGGTAATACTCTTGGAGCACTTGATGGATGTGATAATAGGGGTGCAAAGAGGTAACATGGGGAGACCTTTTCGTAGACTGATGAGTGGGGAAGGATTGAGACCTTTCCATCGAAAGGAATTTCAAAGTATAACGCCCCTTCAAAGGTTACCTTTTTGGAATAGATAGTTGTGTGGGAGTCAATTCTCACTTTGTATAATTTGTGGATTGAGAGGCTATCAACTACTGAGCGTATGCCCAATGAGGTGCACATGCGCCAGCACCACCTTCTCTTATCTTCCAGCCACACACAGGAGTCGTGTTCAATAATTTTTTCTCATTTAGAATGCAAGTTACACACCTAGATCTTTTTGAAAGCTACTAGATTGTTGAATTGGTGGCTTCTTGCGGACTGGATGTTGATTCCTTCCATATTATCTTGATATGTTTAGAAGGGAAGGCAAAGGAGGATTTTTTAGTGAACTCAGATGTCCATAAATAGATTTAAAAGATCACTTATGTATGTATTCCTTTTTTGGGTTAAAGGTGGCTTCTACCCTCGAGCTTAGTCCTATCCTTGAGAGTTTTGGAGGAGATGGGTCATCTTACCCTGTATAGTGGCTGTTCACATTTGTAATTATATGACGCTACCTTGGCATTCATTAATATGCTTCTACTTGCCCCAAAAAAAAAAAAACAAATCTTCTTCCACGTGCCTTATGTTGCCTAGATCACTGCCGTTAGAGAGAAAAGACCAAGACCCTGAACAATGTTTTCACTGGTAAAGCTTAATTTAAAATCTTCTGTCCTGCTACCTTTTTAACAATAAACAACCCAAGCCCACCAAATGACAAACCATGCCAACCCCATATATATATAAGAACGATAGCTACAACTACAGAACTAGCACGTGAACCTATCTTCCTGAGCTAAACTAACAAAATTTACCACTTACGCCAAACATTTGGAGACTGGCACCTGACAGCACACTTTACAGTCGCTCTATAACTGATTGAAACTATGTGTCTAAGAATATACACAAGAACAAATTGTGTGCCGGGTCTTCAGATTTAGCAATCATACATCTTAAGAAAATAAGTTTTACTCTATAGTTGCATCCAATTAAAACTTTAAATGCTTGGCAAATACATGAAGATTTGTCCTACATAGCCATGACAATTAGTATCTCCATGCCAAAACATTAGTAAAGACCTGAAGTTACAAAGCCACCACAAGAGAAAATAGTAAGACACCAGTGCCATATAATATGACTATAAGAGAAGATTGCTTCCTTCCATGAACATAAAAACGTTAAGGGATCAGGAAAAGAAGTACCAGAGAAATAATAGGGCCTTCGTCTTCATCTGTTGTAACATGAGTCATCAGCGCCAAGTTTTTCACCAGTCCACAAGATTCACCTTCCGGAGTGTCACAGGGGCAAAGCATGCCCCACTGCAGTTAAAGTGATTCAGCAGGAATGCATTACTACAAATAGACCAGCTATGCAAAATCCTACGAAATCACATCAGTAGAAGCTAATCAAGACTTGGCAAAAAAATTAACCTAACCTGGCTAGGTTGCAAGGCTCTAGGTCCACTAACTTTCCTGGACTTTTCAAATTGTGGAGAGATCCTTGTCATGTGACCCAGTGTTCCTATGTAAGATAGTCTAGCCACAACCTGTTACAAGAGGAATTTACGTTAAGCTTATGGTGTCTATTTCTTATAATGAATTAAAAATCAGGGGATATAGAAGCAACATGAAAAAGAGGGGGAAACAAAACACCTGAGTCATGCCTTTACGGTGCATCCTGAAACGTTTGACATCAAAGTTGCCGGTAGAAAGAGTTCTCTCTAAGCCAACAGTAATACTATCTCTCGCTATATGCTGGAAGAAATAAATATAAACCAAAATATCAAAACCCATCCGGATTGATGTGTCCAATTTATCAATATTTCAGAATCATGTGGAATATACACGAGATGAAACATAAAATGCCAACCCAGGTCAAAAAACAAAATATTTAAGAACATTTGCAATTCACAAAAGTTATTTTTATAAATAGGGAAACATTTGAATTTGATTCAGTTAGAGTAGTGCTGGAGTGTGGAAATCATTGAGAGAAGAAAATAGTAGGAAGATTTCATGGAAAATGAATAAGTCATGCAGAAGATTAATGGCTACAATCAAGCCCCACCAATGCACCAATGGCTCCCACCATAGGTGTATGATATGGATACCGAATCAGATACAATAATCATACGATATTTGATGATGCATATC